TTTGTGCATACTCTCCAACATTCTATCTAAGGCCATAGTTCCAGGCTGAGATTACTTCTATTTATTTTCCTAGCTTTCTGTGCCAAAGTGCAGTTATACAATAAAAAGGTCAGGAAAGTGAGAGTTTAAAAAATCTTACCAGTTTTATGGTGAATATTGATTGCATAGCAATTCCTGATGGCTTGATTTTTTTCGCTGTCTTTCCTGATAGCAATCATTCTCAGGAACGTATTTCACAGCTATGAGATTCTTCTTAATATAAAGGCTGCTAATTCTATGGGTAAAACAGCCATTAACATCTGAATATTCAAATTATCATACACTATTTTAGTAAATACAGTCCGGTTTCATCAAACTGGCTGACTAAAAATATGAGCCAATATCCAGTGTTTAAGAGTTCATATGCCTTCTTCCACAATCAGTATTTTCATGCAATTTTAACATGAATATAATGTTCAGTTAAATAGAAAGAAGCCTGAAACATCTATGCCATATCTGTTTCTGGTTTCCATTATTTGTCCTTACTTCATAAGTTCTATTTTGAGCAGTCAAATGTTTTTATGATTTGAAGATTTATTATGTAATTAATTATATGCAATTAAGTTGTTTAATTCCAGGAACCCCACATAAATGTGTGCTTTTTTATTATTTAATATAGGTGATCAGATGTTGGAAATGAGCACCTGTTAGCTGTTAGTCTTCCAGGTTCTTAAATATATTTGTTTGACTTCATGCAAGTGATTAATGCCTCCGATATCAATAGTGGTGTTTTCATGTGTAAAGTTTGTATTTGTGTATAAACACTGAAGGATTTAGCACCCATGCAATCTCATTCAACACTTATAATGCAACACTATGCAAATGAAAATTTTGTATGAATAAAGAATAGATAGGATTTGAGTAGCCATTATATAATATCCTGGGATTTCAAAATACTCTGTACACATACTACTATAAAATATTTAATCATTCAGCTGTCCTTGTAGATTTAGGCAATATAATTAGCCTTTGCCATTCAGTCATATATATAAGTTTTAGTTATAATGATAGTTATGTTTGATGACTTGGAATCTAGATTTTGTATTAAAACAATAACAGCAACAAGAATAAGAAAATTCTGACAACCTTAAAGGTAATTAACTGACTTCTAAGAAACACCAACATTATACAAGCTTAATCAGCCAAGAAATGAACAGAGTTAATTAGCAGGGCTCTGTCTTTTGCAGTCTTCAGACTTGAATACATTATTAAGACAAAACTGAAGTTGCAATTTGAGTTCCACAAGGTGCTGGTTTTCTTATAGCTCTAGACCAATGAGGATTTAGGTTAGATTAAAGAAAAGAAAAAAGAAGAGGTAAGCAGATCTGAATAGAAAATCCAAAACTTGAATCCATGTCCTTTCCTGTTCAACGCCTCAGTAACCCGAATTCCCAAGTCATGTCCCTGATTGCTCTGGTCCTAGGGGCACCTGTGCTTTTGCTTCATAACAGCTCCAGCATTTCGAGGTATAACCAAATAACTTCTCAGGTCCTCTGTACACCCAGGTAGAATCTAGAAACTCGATAGCTTATCACTCTCATCTCAGAGCAGGCCAAGAAAATAGACAAGCTAAGATGTCATTGCAGCTGGTTTTACTCTTAAAATAGTACTCAAGTTTTGTACTAAAGCCTTGTGATTTGAGTATGTAGGCAGTGGTATGCCAGAACAAAATCCCTTCATCTCCCACGATCTATTAGTGTGCTAAAATCACTAGCCTGGGTGGATTTATGACACCCTGTAGTATAAAATGGAGATTTCTGAAGCCAGGAGGAGGGAGTGTGCTACAGTGTAGTGACTGGGATGCTTGTTTTCAGTGGAGAACTTTAAAGACTATGCTGCCTGCACCAGGCACTGGATTTCTATTTTCTATTTAACAGCCAGTGGATGACAGATAACTTGGCTGTGAACTGAGAAAAATAAGGCAATAAAAAGATGAGAAATCACTGCACCAATCATTGGCTATGAAATGCAAGACAAAACTATGTACTGATAGCATCAATTTAGTGTTTGTTTTTCAGACAAAGTATTTGTTTCATTTTAAGTGAATGATACTCAGTTCAGTCTCTCTATCATGGTGGAGGCCATCTATAGCCCTGTGTAAGGAACCTGCTATCTTGAATGTGATGGGTTTGAAAAAGACTACAACCTGCAGCATTCCTCTTGGAAAGCTTCAGGAATTAACAAGAGATTGAGGTTTCATCTCTGAGGTGAATCAGGTGATAAATTCTGGGATTTCATATCCAGTTTGAAGACCAGATGGCTGGCACCATGGTGTTTAACTTTTATATGATAAAGTCCTTTATAGCTAATCTTTAGATGTATAGTTAGCTTCAGCTTCAGTTAACTGTTGATGTACATGTAGAGTTATTTGTTGATAAACAAAATACATATGTTTACATACTTCCTGAGCTGGGAAAAGAGCACCTTGGCACTATCCCATCCTGTGTGCCCTTTATGTAATTTCATGACTATCCATTGTTCTAATTTTATATGTATATACACACAAATATATAAATATACATATATATGTGAATAGCCTTACCCTGCTGAAACCAATGGCCACATTCTTTTCAGTTTCGATAGAATAATGGTCTGAATGTATGTGTATTTTACTGCATCTTTTTGCATTATTTACAAGCCTTGAGCAATATGTATTATACAGCTTTTTAATTTACTGGCTTTTTTTTTCTATTTTAGAGGAAGGTAATAAATTTTTCTAGGATGAAATACATTATTTAGTAAAGAGTACTAGTGGAAATTAGACTAAATAGTCTGACAAATTCAGTCAGAAATTAATCCATTGTGAATTAGTTCAAAGAGAAGCTGAAATGTAACTGATGCTAACAGTGATACTATATTCTGTGCCTTTATATGAGATTTAAACACACTAACTTCACAAATAAAAAGCACTTAAATAAATGCTCTCTGTCTTGAGAAATAGATGGTTAGTGAAACACCTGGAATTTCTTGGTATTTTATGGCTGGACCGAAGGATGTGGTTAACCTAAAATATGTATGCGTTGAGTATCAGAGGATGAACTAGGAAGCAGCTCCCAATTCCATCAGTTTCTTATCTCTTCCTTTGATTTTTTCTTTTTCTTCTCTCTTTTTTTTTTTGTTTGTTTTTTTTAGTAATTTCAGACAAGTTTTCTTATGCCACTTTCTGCATGTCTGAGATGGAAACAGTATATTTCTTCCCTTTGAAAAAACATTTTGAGACATGCAAGTAAAAAATGCTATGTAAGAGCTTTGGATTATTATGGTAATTTAAGAGATAATGAATGTCATCCTACAAAATAACTTGGGAACTGTTACATGGAATACTAAATGTTTTTTAACTTCCTGAGCTTGAATTGCTGTTTGGTTTCTGAGCCTAGACTGGTGCTTCATTTGAAACTTCTTTTGAACTCATTTCCACCTGTTTAAGCAGATTTGACTTTGCTGCAGACATGGCACAATAGTTGCATTATAGTGAGTAGACTGCTTGTCAAATGTAAAACCTAGATTTTAATTTCCTTACATCTTGCTGCTAAAGCTGTTCAGCTCTCTATCAGTTGGATCATTTCCTGTCTTGCAAATGGCAGTTGACATATCTGCCAATCAGTTCTGTTCCTACGTATTTCTAAATTTAAGAAATCAGATTCAGTTTCAGGCACTATTTTAGGAGAATGAATTATTTAATGAAATAATAAAAAAGCAAATCTTGTTTTGTACGGTTTCCATTTTCACTGCTTCTATAACAATTCACAAGTTCTCTGAATACTGGATATGGTGTTGAACTGAAACACACCTGAGCGATAACATCTAGTACCCTTGTGAACATCAGCACGAGCAGACTTTTTCCATGAACAGATGCAAACTATTTGGAGATATGTATCATTTAAGTGCCACCACTCCAGATTTCAGGTATTTACACCAACCTCCTGTATACTGTACCTAGTTGCAGAAATATCTCCTCTGCCCCATTCTCCTTAGGCTGCTCTGATTACAGCCAATAAATAGATGTGTATGCAGTCCCTGTTTCAATATTTAGACCAAATTTAAAACCTAGTACTAGTTCTGCAATCCTGAGATGAATTGCACTCCAAGGTAGATTTTCAGATATTCTCATTTCATAATTCTGAAGGGAAACATTCTGCTAGCACAGTTTTGCAACGATAGCTACATCATAGTCTGACTTGGTTTTAACACATCTGATAAGTAGATGAAAGGCAAGCTGACCGCTTAGATTTATATGAAGAAAAAAAACAAAAGGTTATGACATCATTTTTCATTAAGAGCGTTTACAATTAACTTTGTTCATATGGATTTAATTGTGAAATCCTTAGTGGTTGTAGTGAACCAGCTTTAGTCACATTAAAGATAAGCTGTTCTCAAAAAGAAAAAAAGAAATCAGCTCCATCTCTGCAAAAAGCATTGTTGTAGTTTAAAAGAGAGGAAATGTACAATATTCAAAGATTTTATAACTGCCATTAAAGGAAAAAATGAAATTATTAATAATCACAGGTTTGTTCATTAAAGGGTCCATGACAAGCTAAAAAAGAATATTTAAGGCTGTAGTAATCAGACTGGCAACTTTATTTGCTGTTACTGCACTGGTTTCATAATATGTACTACAGTATTTTGGTTTTAGTTTTTGTTGTTTTTTTTTCTTTTTTTTCCAAAGATGACTGAAACCTTTTCTGGGACTTACAGGGAAGAAAGAGAGAGATTTAACATCACTAAATGGACCTGCAGTATCTAGTTGAACAACAGAGGAAATACATTAAAAAGCTTAAATTATTGCTGGCAGTCCTGATAAAAGACATAAAAGATTCCACCCTGATTATGTTTCAAAAAACATTGCTATCACTTTGTGCTGCAAACTCCTTATAATGCAGCAAAACTATTCTTTTCGAAAGCAGTGTGAAATTCAGTGGGAGCTTAACTTTTTTAGTGTTCTTATTGTTTATTGCTTCTAGGGGTAAGAAGACTGGACATGATATAGATTTTTTGATCACCAGTCCAGGACATAGAGAAGATGATGAGCTTCTGCATAAAGTTGTTGGCTTATGGAAAAAGCAGGTATGAACTTAATAACATTTGGCCAAAGAGGAAATATTATACCACCACCAATTTAAGCTTATGCAGTGCTTAAAGAATGTTGACTCCTTTTTACAGATGACTGCAATATTTTGAACTTGAATAGTGCTCTATTTGATTATTAATCACAATGATCTAGGTGCATCCTCCAGCTTTGAATGCTAAAGTTGGAGGTTATATGAGTAGTACTTTGCACACATTCTGTTGTATCTTACTCTAGGACTATGCAGCTAGCCAGAGGTAAGAAATCAAGCCAGGTGGAGTTTTGAGTGTCACAGAAAACTGTTTTCATACTTTGAAATAAAAATGTATTTATTTAATTTCTCATTGAGATGGAAGTAGGCTCTCCCAAAGGGAACTACTTCAGGGAGCTCCAGGTTTAAGTGTAGTGGATTTAGGTGATGTTGTGATGTGAGGTGAGCAAGTCTGAAAGCTTAGGTACCAAATCCCTGGAATTCTAGCTTCCTTTCAGCTCACAGACCAGCATTTTTCCTGTCTTCCTTTGGAATATTGTAAAAATTGACATAGACTTCCATGATGTCTGGGTTTGGAAGAATGCACACATTTCACAGAGGTATTGTTCATCTAAGAGGGCTTGGTTTCTTTTCTATTCAGCTTTCTTCAGTTTCAAGCAGCTCTAAAGTTGGAGGAGCCTGAATTATAACAGATGCCTGTACCCCAAAATGTTGCTGGGTCATAAATATAACATCTTGGGAAGAACTAGCTTTTGTTTCTTTCTCTACCTTTCTAACCAGCTAAGATATTTTTTGACATTTACTACCTGTATTGTTCAAAGGAATTGAGTACATTTCAAGAAGTAAGAGGCCAACACTTTTGAAGTAAATCACCAAATACTCCACTGCTAAGTCAGCTTTTAGTGCAGATAGCCTGGAAAGAATGCTTTTGAATTGATTCTTGACATCCGTACTCGATGTGCAATGGGTTAACACAGGAAAGACATCCAGTCAGACAAAAGCTTAGCTGACTGTAGAAAGTGACCTGTTTCAAGGTGGTCAAAATCTTTCAACTGGCTTTAATGGAAGGGCTTCAAGCTTCTTTTATCCTGGTAAAATAGATTGACTGAATTCCTAGTTCTTCAGTTGGCTTTTTGTCTTTGAAATGTTAACAGATTATTATTAATTTTTTTAGATTTCTGTGACTTCCATCCTAATTCTTCACAGCAAGTGTATGTATTGAAGTGGATTGCTAGCAGGTATAATTTATCATGCTCCAATGAAATGCAATGAAGCTGTGACAGTTAATGAGTGCTGAGGAACTACTCTGTTTTTTATCTTTTATTATTTATGTAAAGCTTCTTTCTCAGTCATTCTACTCCCTTTATTCTGGGGAAAGTTGCATTTTTTTCTTGGAAGCTGTTCTTTTACCTTCCTAAGCAGACTTGAATCTCTAGAAACCCATGTGTGAGTGCTCCAAAAATCATGTTTCTTATACACAGCAGAAAGGAAAAGTGACAACAGGCTGAGAATAGAGCCCGTCCTGAGTGAAGCCTTTTATTCCTTCTCCCATTTCATCATACTCCAGTCACACGAATGAGAATGATGGCTATGATCTGGCAACTGCTGAAGCTTTTCAGATCACTCAGAGCTGCTTTCATTAAATGGAACTGAAAGAAAATAAGTAGAAAATAAACCATTCTTGATGATTTTTTAAAGATAACATTTGGGAGAAGCGAGTGCAGGGAGAGTATGGGAGATCAAGGGTGGCCAAGGGTTTGATGAAAAGATTAGGATTCATTTAGAAATCCCAGCATGGTGAAAATGTCAGAAGGGAAGGTGCACAATGGCCATAGAAACCAAATCCAAACAAGCTGGGAATTGTTTAAAGGTATGGACACATATTTCCTGTGTTCTGTTTGTCCTCCAGAATTTTTATGGCTTATATACTGCTAGCTATACTGCTTCTCTGCTGTGGCAGTTGTAATATACAGGCTTTTACTGGTACTACTAAAAAGTAAGCTGCCAGCAAAATCAAAATGCAAAAAAGAAAGAGATGATTTACACTTCACTTTCTTTTTTATTACCTTTGATTTCTAAGGGGGAGGGGAAGACAGATAAAAACCCTCAAATCTAAAGCACTTTAATAATTTTTGACAGTACACCTGTAGTCTTTTCCACAGCTTTCCCCTTTTGTGCTACTGCTTCAAAGCCGAGATTCATCAAAGAACATCACTGAGGTCAGAATGTTGACTTCCTTTACAGCAGCTCTTAGTGAAGGATTTCTGCGATGTTTCGCTTCTAAGCTACAGACCTCAGTCTTATTTAAATAGTATAAAAAGGCCTTTCGCCTAGTTGAAAAGTTTAATGTAACAAGATCCTTCCATTGAAAGCTGCTGAAAACTAAGTGATTAAATCAACACCATTATGTTCTTTGCTACAGCATCACCAGCAATAAAATGGGCCAAGGAACAAATAATACAAAGTCACCATTAAGCTTCTCAAAGTACACCATCAAAATGGAAAAGCTGCAATGTAGTACACAGGTTGTGGTTTTAATCATTCCAAAAACCTTCTTAGAGAAACAAATGACTTCTGTGGGTTAGAGCTTGAAAGTCTGAGGGCAAACAGGCTGAGCCATCTGTGTCGATGCAGCTTCATTCACATACTGTATAAAGATATTTTCATTTTTTTTTTGTTTAAAAACCTATATAGCTATATTTAGCTCTGTTCCTGTTGTTACTTTTAACAAAGGAAGATTACTAATGGCATTTCTGCACTTTTCATTTGTTCCTTTTGTATTCATGTAATTATAATGTTGCATTTTTCTTATGGTTTTTAGGAAAATGAAGAATGTTGATGCTTGCCTGTGTACACTTATTGCAGTGTATTGGTGGTATGGTTTAGACTCTATTATTCACCCTTACTGAGGTGAACAGCTCAGGAAGGGGAAGTTTTGATGTCCCATTAAGGTGGCTGGTGAGGAACAAGTAACTGGTCTCACTGCTCATTGCAGGAAGCATTTTTTTGGAAGCGGGGTTCACAGAATAGCAACACTTTCCTTATTGAGGGACAGATGGATATTAGCAGCAACAAAACAAGACAAGATACAGAAATGGTTAAGAGGCTGGAGCAAAGAGCTTATTTTTTTTCAGATGAATGCTCTGCCCATAAGGGTGCAGAGCTCCTTTACGAACACGTATTGATTGTCTCACGTCTCACCTTTTCACTCAATGTTGAGGACACTTTTACCTAAAATAGACTATTGCATGGTGGTTAGAGCACTGGACATGAAAGAGCTTGGCTTAAGTTGCTTTAGGCAGAAGATGGATTGAATCTGATTGTCCTGCTTGTGAGGTTATTGCATAAAGTAGGCAGAAGTGTTCCATTTCCTGCTCTGTTTTAAGTGAAGATCCAGGCAGCAATAGCATTTCTTATAGCATTTGATCTTTCTGGTCTGTATTGTACATCTGTATGTAGGAAATTATGCGTGTATGTATTTCTATCTATCTGTCTTCACTGGTGCAAATGCTCACGTCATAGAGAGAGGGAAACATCATTCCTGGACTCCAGTGCTGGTCTGTCCATTGCTGTCAAAATCAGGTGGTTCAGGACACGCCCAGAATTAGACCATTCTGACATACAGGGAACTTGAAAATGCAAAAGGGCTTAAGGCAGCTGCATGATTCTGCAGCAGCTGCAAGGTTTTGTATTGCTGATCAATCTGTTTGATAATGGTTTCTCCCCCTGCCTGCTCAGGGAGAGGAATCCCTCCATTCCTCATGCCTGACTGCTCTCAGGTATTTGTTCCTTGAGCTGATCCACTTTACAGAATTCAGTATGTATCACCTAGGTAGAGATGTTTCCGAACTAACATGCCTACGTCCAATTTTGGATTAGCTATAGGAATTTAATAAAAAAAACAAAAATCCAGAAGGAAATGAAGAGCAGGAACATATATCCATTTCAGAAGAATGTACTGGATTAGATTTTCAGGTGGTATAAAATGTTCCTATTTAGCTTTAAGTTAATTAATACAGCTACCAAGAGTTTTGAATAATGACAGCTTGCAACATTAAAAAATAGGATAGGATTTCATTTAATTAAAAGAGACAAAGAATGCTAATGACCATATTTGGATTTATTTTTCAGCTATTAATTTTATATTTTTCAAAAAAATCACACTTCAGTTTGATCATGGATTTACTCCAATGTCAATGGTATTGATGTGTCAGCAGTCTATTTAACTAAAAGTCCATAATACTATAAAAAAAGGAAAAATGGTTGTGGGTATTAACATAACTGCCCTAAACCCATACATCTGTTTTTGATGGTGTTGTAAATTTGAGAAATGAAAATACATTTTAAAACTTGATTGTGTAAACAATGTCTACAGCACTTTATGGTGTATAGATCAAACTGAAATTTGCAAAGAACTGCAGATTCCCTGACACAGAGTAATGAGAAGGCTGCTGTTTAGCAGCTAGCAGTAGCCAGTTTCACACAATCTGCGTAGCTGACTGCTCCTCCAGGCAATACTTTTTCAAAACATACAGAAGTGCCACTTCAGCTTTATTTTATGGGGTAATGGTGACGTCCAGTGCCTAATCAAATTAGGTTAATTAGAAACATCCCAATGGACATGATCTAGGATTTGGCTCCTATTTAAAGGTGATATCCTGACTTTGAATCAGGTTTCAACTGCTTGTTGAACTCAGCACTTGTGTAATTGTTGCCGAACTTAATTTTTTTTTAAGTTGAAGTAGATATTTGCAGCAGTCTACATCCTCTTATAGTCTTCCTTTTAGCTTTAGAAATTCCCCAGCCAGCAAATGAGGATAAAACCCTACAGGATAACCCAGAGACAAGCAGTCCTAAAATATCTTTCTAGCCACACATGCTAACTGTGACCATCTGTGTATGCTTAATATGCATTCAAATAGAAGACACGGCCTAGTCAACAAGGGAAAACAGCAGTGGGAAGGCTCCAATACCAATTTGTTACAAGTGCTTCATGCTTGCTTGGTGTTAACTCCAAGGAGTATTCCCCTGAAGTTCCTAAATATGAAAATAGGATGAGGAAAAAAAGAAAAAGACACAATTTTAAATGACGTGGTTTAACAGGCAGAATTTGCACTCTTCAAGCAGCTGAGAGATATCGAAGGGAGGACCTTTAGTAAGTGTGGTGACCAGGATGACTTCAGATAAAGGCCATTCACAGACTGATATGTTGAACCTCCCCCATTTTAATTTATAACTTTGTATTCCTGTTTATAAACAAGTAGCAAGCTGGAAAAAATTACTGTGAAAACTAAGTAAAGCTAATGCAGAAGACATTACCTATAAGATGATAATACAGATAAGTGTTAGAATGAACATATTGGTGAAAGAGAGGATGCAATGTATGACTAAACATTAAAAATGAACGTCTTAAAAGGCCTGAGCATTTTATGTCAAGGACATTTTATCTATTACAGACATACAGGTAATGCAAAATAATATATCCTCCAAAGCTTACAGGCTAAAAATCCAGGTGTGGCCTACTGGTGGCCCTGTGTGACTGTCCCCAGATCTCACTGAGAAAAAACACTCGCTAGGTGCTTTCTTCCTGCCCATGAAGAGAGAAATTACTGCAGGCTGTGGTATCTTGCTGTTTCTCAAATGATCAGAAACAGAACTTCTACTTGGTCTTTGCACTTACAGTAGAAATTCTATTCCTTTTGTAGTCCAGCTAAAGATGGGCTTTAATTCCTGATTTCTTGCACCAAAATGAGGATATTTCAACTTAATTTGAATAAAGACAAAAACACTGATACAAGCTGTGGCAAAGTGCAAAACTGGTGATCTTAGCACACTGTCTACATACATCATACAGATATTGAATATGTAGATACTTGGAACTATAAAATTTTACCAAAGCTTAATCTGGTTAAGATTTTGCCTAATGAAGGACATAATTTAGATTTGTTCTGGGATATGCTATGCAGTGTCCCAAATCTCAAAGAGCAGAAAGAAAAGTGCAGCAAAAGATGAGAAAGCACTGATGAAGTAGCTAGATGATTTTTATAGAGAATGGGAAGAATGCCAGTGCTTAATCAAAGCTTGAAGTCATCAATTAATGTTCAATGATCAATGAAAATAAAAGTATTTTTAGCATTAAAAGTGACAAAATTAACCTGAAGGCAGGCATAGTTTCATCAGAAAGAGTGAGATAATAAGCAGTTAAGCATTAAGATTCAATAGCTGTTTTGAGTCTGTATTTGGATATAGCAAGCATCAGTACCTTCTGACATTGGAGTAAAATTAAGAACAATTTCCTACCTCTTTTAAAGATGGATGTGAAAGGGTGCCTGCTAAAATTAAGTATTTTCAAATAATCAGAAACTAGTAATCCAAGAGAATGAGCTATGTAAGTAATTTCCTGTTATGTAAAAGAGGATTTATAAATTTATGAAAATTCCAAGGAAGTCAAGGAATGTCAATGCAAATCAAATAGTTATCATTAAAAAAGTTGGCCCAATGACCCATAAAATAGCCTATGACTGATTTGCAGTAAAATAATGGAATTGTTAATTTGGAACAAATCATCAACAAAAACCCGGAGGCTGAAAATATAATAATATCTATCAGCATCTTTTCATGAAAATCCTATCTTTTAAAGGGGTTTTGTTATGCTTTTTTTGTTGTTGTTGTTCAGAATTATAGCTCTGAGTGACAAAAATAATCTTACTGCTGTATTCTCCAAGGTATTTAACATATTATCAGGTAAAATTACCACAATTGCACTATATAAAGGTAATAATCAGGACCTGATGTTTAACATTGAGATGTTGTTCCAAAAAATCGATTCACTGTCACCTGTGTTTGTAAGAGGTCTGAAGTGGAGATCATGTAGTTAACCATCAACAGCCATGAAATAAAATCACTTCTAAACACACTCAGTTCAATATCAGAAAAAAACCCAAACCAAAAACAACACTCCCCTCCCCCCCAAAAAAACCCCAAAGCAACCCAACAACCAAAACCCAACGTAAACCTAATATGATTCTTTACTATGTATTAATGGATATCGTAAGTAAAAGGAGGCATTCTTGACCACACTTTTTTATGGTGAGTATTAGAATCCCCAGTACAGCTGAAGAAGAATGTGTAAACATTTGAGGGTCTTCAAAGCACAGACAAATAATTGATCCAAGAACCTGAAGAAATCCTAATGATGGAAATTTTAGGAAAAAGAGTCTATAGATCTCATCACTGAGGAACAGAAGTGGGTTTGATCAATGTGTGAGTTTCAAAGAAATGTAAAAGGATATATGAAAAGACATGATAGTTGCAGGCTTGTTGATCTTGATGTAAACTAACAAATTTGTAAAGTCAGAACGTCAAGTCACTAAGTTCAGCTTAGTAGTTTTCCTTCTATTAAATACCTGATAGACTGAAGAAAGTGGTTTATGCACTACTGTTGCTAACCTTTATAACAAAGTTAAATTTCTTTTGAAATTTCTTTTGCAAAAACAAATCTCAGAAGTCTTTACTTTCTGTGAAAGTGGGAGCTTAGAGGAGGCGGTCACAGTGGTTTACTGTATTTTATGAATGTATAAAAGCTAAATTAAGGCTGAGTGTCCCAAGGCTGAGGCACACATTTAAGTGTTTTTGTCATGTGTAACCACTTTCAGAAAGCGGAATCTTTTTGGCAGCTGAGCCTTCCTGCTAAAGATGGTTTTAGTGACACTGAAAATTGTTGTATTATTATATATCAAACTCCATTTCTATTCTGAAGACTCAAGGATGACTGAAGGAAGCAGTGCGATGGACAGTATCTGCTTTATTTCTTCATTATTGTGTATTTGATAATTTGTATTCTTAAAAAGTATGTGCTAAGCAGCAGAGAGAGAGAGAGGCTGCTATTTGTCTTGTCCAAGGTATTGTGCTTGGGATCTCCATGCATAGAACTGGTTGGACTCAATGATCTTAAAGGTCTTTTCCAGCCTAAACAATTCTGATTCTATGAGAGGTTTTCTGGCTGGTGAAGGAAGATTGGACTTTACCTGAGGGCAGCTGAACATGCAGAACATCCATAAGCTTTGGAAGTGCAGGTTAAGTCTGAGATGTCCAGGAAATCACTAGCCTTGGAAGCTGCCTAGAAATGCAAGGAACAGGCACAGAGACAGGCCAGCAGAATCACAGAAAGATGCTTTTCCTAAGGGCCTAGAAGGGATAGTGCAGAATTCACTGCCAGTAGTCATTGAAAAGGTGGCTGGCTAAAGAGCAAGGATGAAAGAAAGCACTACCTCTTTCCATTCAACATTTCCTATAGTGCTGGATTAGAAGGAATGAATTTACAATGCTCTATTACTTCCCTTTTTCTTACTCTGATTGTTTTTTATTATAAAAATATAGTATTTATGTTTTAATAAAATCTGACTTTTGAGGATCACCATTTTTTTGTGCACTTCCTTCAAACAAAAGGCAGGGGCAGAGCTCTTCCATCTCTGGAGACTCCAGACCTTGTCAAAAGGAAATCTCACACAACAGACACAGTCCAAGTGCTCTGTTTGGAATCTGTCAGCAAGACTGTGCTCTGGACAAATCTGGTTTTTTCTATATGTCTGCCAAGTGGGAAAGCATCAATCCTCACTCAGAAATTTCTGTTGACATAACTTCAAAAGGCTTAGAAGGAAACAACTGAGGGGGAAAATTGCCAATATTGCCTCCTTAGTACAGGGCAGGACTTTGCCATTATCCAGTGACCACCACTGCAGATCTCCCTCAAAGAATCTGCTAATATTTTTCCAAAAGCTGCAGCTGTTTCAAGTTTCTGCTTAGCCCAGATTTAGCCTGGGACAGTTCTGTGTTTACTGAAGCTGCATTTTGCATGAATTTTTAAGATAACTGACTAGAAACTCTGGAATTACAGTAAAACCAGTCCAGCAATTCAATGTGAGCTGTATTTTCTCTTTAGGGCTTACTCCTATATTGTGATATCATCGAATCAACATTTCTAAAGGAACAGATACCAAGCAGAAAAGTTGATGCTATGGATAATTTTCAGAAGTGTTTTGCAATTTTAAAATTGTGTCAGCCAAGAGTAGACAACAGCAGTTACAACACATCAAAAAATATCGATATGGCAGAAGTCAAAGACTGGAAGGCAATCCGTGTGGATTTGATCATAGCCCCTTTTGAGCAATATGCATATGCTCTGTTAGGCTGGACGGGCTCGAGGGTAAGTAACCACAACAGTCCATGTTTCCCTAGCATTCCTAACCTGGGTTTGTTATTGCAGGACCATGCAGAGTTCATGGATTTATTTTTTTTTAATATTCCTTCTCTCTACATGTCACCTTTCATGCTGTCATCAGCCTGTGATCATAGATTGGAACTGATGAAGTCCTCACTGACATCTATGGATATGTTTCTAGAGGAGTTAATATCTATTTTCCTCACAGATTCTGTTCGTGAATTGAAGACTAGATTATCAGTCACTTGCTTTGTCTTTTTACATCATGCTAGTGTTAACAAGCAATTTAAATGGTTACTGAGTGGAGAAATTATTTGGAAAGTGTCGCAGATTTTTACAGGAAATTAAATATTTGAGGAAGACATGTTCAGAATTGGAACTTGATTTGTTTTGTTGGGAATTGAAAACCATTTGACCTCTTTCTTTTGGGATTAGGTAAAATGCTTTGTTTCACTAGTATATTAATTGTTTTAAACCTGAAAAAAATGGCACATTTTAAAATCTATGCATTATTTTTGAAATATAATAAAATATGTTTTAATTGATATTTAAAGAAGTTAAGAAAACTTGATACTTTCACAATAGACACATAGTCAATGGGTATAATATAAAATAGTACAGTATTTGTTTAAAAAAAAAATCCTATCTAAATGCAAATGCTGAATTCAAATGATTAACCTCTCCCTGGGCAGAATTAGATCTGTTCTACATGCTTGTCTTCTGATGCTCATTTTCTTAGGGAGTGACTATATGGTAGGAGATCTCCTGAACCTGCTCTGAATGATCTTTTTGCTGTGCTAGAAGTAGTACAGATGCATTGCCACTCTGTTCTACTCAGGTTAATTGGAAGTAGGATGTTTTAGACCAGGAGAAATGTTGCAACTGATGTATTACCCTGCTGAGCTGATGAGTTACTTCAGTCAGCTTCTTTTTTGAGTTAATAAAATGTATTTATTCGGACCTTCGAATAAGTTCTGCAGACTGTTTGGTCCTTCTTATCCTGAAAGTGTTTGGCTACTTGAAAGCTCTTCTCTCAAATCTGTTGGGGGGTGTTCACACTGTAAGATCCTGTCACTGGCTTGCTTTCTCATACAGTGCCCAACTATTCCCGACTAACCAACTGAAATGATGGTCCATTACCTTTCAAGGCATTATTCTTTCAGATGATCCACTTTTTCACACTATAGTTGTTTAATTTGTAGGTATTCGTTTATTATTTGGTTTGGTGTTGGAACTAAAAAACAGTAACAATTTTGATTTGTCAGAATTTTTGATATCTGCAATATTTTTACAGCAATTTGGACGTGATTTGCGGAGGTATGCTACTCATGAAAAGAAGATGATATTAGACAATCATGCCTTATATGACAGGAAAAAGGTACTGTTTATTCTCATAAATAAAGCTATTGTGTCTTTATTTCTGAGTCTGCTTTTTGAGGTTGTTATTGGTATTTGAGTATATAGAATAGTTTAGCTTGATTCTCTATCTATCACATAGTAAACCAGTCCCACCTTCAGATGTAATTTTACTGACAGAGCCTGATTAAACCTGAACAAACTTTTTTTGGCATTGCTGAGGTAATTTCTGAAATTTAGCGAGAAACATACATTAGACAACAGTGTCTGGAAGAAACTGTGCAACCTTCACAAAACTGAGAACAACTCATCTTGCAGGTATTTCAAAAAAGGATTTTACTGTCCTGATTCAGAATGAAAGGTCATTTCTTTGTCCCAGGCACAATTTTAACAGAGGTTGTACTGCTATTTCAAATTAGAAATAGATGTTGAGTGTTACAGGCACAGCCAGAAGGTCAAAGGAAGATTTTCTTAGGATATGATAACTAAGTGGACCTCAGGAATCATCCTGCTTTTAAAGCCCTGCAAGGAGAAGTCTGTGTGGAGTTCTGTTTTGTCAGGCTTCCCAGTCTTGGTAATAATTGATAGTTTTTCTGGTCTAAATGTTCCTGGCTGCAGTTATACTGATCTCTGCATTTATCTGAATTAATGTCTGTACTTGTATTAGGTCATTTTAATAATAAGCAAAAATCAATATTGAAGATGTTTATTGATGTTATTAAATGAGAAGGTAAAAGTACCATGTCAAGATTTTACATTGATCTTTTCTACATATTCTGTATAGAATGGAGACTGCTTTTAACATTTCTATTTACATGGAGCATTGTCTCATTGTGAGATGCAGCAGTGCTCTAAGCCCTCACTCAATTTCTGTCTCTGCGTGTGCTTGTCAGGTTCAGGTGGCACAGCATCCTCAGTTCACATAGAAACCTGGGGAAATGATCAGACTAATGATCCATTTAGTCAAATATCCTGTCTCCAACAATTGTCAATAATAGATGATTCAGAAGAAAATATAAAATTGCATAATGGATAAGTATGCTATCAAATGTCCAAAGGGGGTAGTTTCTTCATGAGCACAGGGATAGTGTCAGTGTCTTGCTGTCTTCTATAGGTTGAAAGCATCCAAAACATAAACTCTGTGGCTTAATATAATATAGCAAATATTACTATCTGCAAGTTAATATGTGCTCTGTTAAATAGCTTTTAGGGTGCAACAGATAACTGCACTAGGGAAATACAAACAAATTAAGAAATGCCTGTGTTATTTTTTGTGTGCAGCAAAACTTGCCTGCCTGGTGTACAAGTATATATGTCATTATATCTGCTGCTTTTGCCCAGAACCCTAAGGCATTCAGTAATACAAAAAAGACACTGTTTGTTCATGAGCAGCATCAATCAGTATTACTTTTTCTTTATTGCTTTTAGGCTTTGTATTTGGCATACCATTCAAATCGTTCTGGGAAAGAAAATGTGTATTTCACTGCACTAGCTAGGGTGTTTCAGAGATAAATGAAGAGATTATTTTCACAATGCCCTCTGTGAAAAAGTTGCTCTTGTCTTCCCAAATTTTCAAGTAAAGAACTGAGGCAGAGAAAGACTTAAGGCCCAGAAATCCACAGATTTGATGGCCTCCACTGTTTGTAGATGCTGGCCTGAACTTTCTCCTGTTGACTATCTGCTTCAGGACTTTGAAAAATACATAGAAACATGTATAGCCACAACATTTCCTCACTGCACTGCCCCAAACTGAAGAAACATAATTAGTGGAGACTAAGAAGCAAGATTTACAAAATATTCCTTATTTCTTATTATAATGCAGGAATTTTATGACAAGGACAAGGAAAAAAAATCCAAACCTTCAGTGAAAGTTGCAACTGTCTTGATCATGAATTCTTTAATTTAGAATTTCCATGTATCAAATGAAGCACATGAATAGATCTACTGTCCCTTTTGGTGGGGAGCGAACTGTGCTTTCAAATCTCTGTTTGTTATCATCCCCTCCAATAATATCAGTCTCCCTTTTCTCATTTAATCCTAGACATAGCTAGTTCACTTCCAAATTTTATTTTCTGCCACAAACCACAGAAATTAAAACAAGATTTCGTGTTAATCTGTTGATGCAGCGTATTACTGTTCTTGTCTCTGCTGCGTTCTCAGAAATTGCTAAATTACATTAAGTGAAATTTTCCACAAAGAAAGAAAATTCTAAGATATGTAATGTGAAAAATTTCAGACCAGGCAGCACTGAGTTTATAATCTACTTAAACAAGGGTGTTTTATCAAGTAGTGTCATTCTAATCAGAAGCAGGAGGCACACCCTTCCCTAAGGGTTCCACTACTTATAATCTGATTTGTTAAAATAATTTTTATTTTCAATTTTGCAATTTTGTATGAAGTTATTTCCATAAAGGATATTTTGAGCACAATCCTTCCACACTGCCACCCAGTATGTAATGAGATCAAGGATGTACATAGTACAACAATGGTGTCTATAGCTGTGAAACTTGAGATGAAGACCCATAGTGGAAGAGAAGATTGCAGTAAGTTGTGTGGCTGCTAAGATTGATTAATTTTTAGGTTCATCGGGTTAGTCAGTTTAAAATGAGTGATGAAAATAATTATTAACTTTAGTGCTGTTCAAGGGAACATATGCTCAAATTGTGGATTGGTTAGGGTTTTTCGTTTTGTTTTTTTTTTAAATCTTAATTAGAAGATTAGAGAATCTACTGTAATTCTAGTGCTTTTAGGTCGTTTAAAAAACATTTGACTAGCACTGATATTTTATCTATTAAATTTAGATTGGAATGTTGAACACATGTATTTCATAAGGACTTTTTTTTTTTTTTTTTTGTGGTAGGAAAGCTTCCTTTCTCAAAGGAAAGCTTTCTCAAAGCTAAAAACAATCAGGAAACAGATATCCCTTGTGCATGCTGCTCAAGATCCCTCAGCACAATCTTAATTAAGTTTAATTAGGCACCACAGGTAAAAATGAATCATATCTTTCCCATATATCTCTCCTTGTTTGCTGAAGAGAGGTTGCCTGATGTCACTAGCTCTGTCCACGCAGACAGACTTTCATGCAGAACTCTGGGTTATAATTTAGGAGCTGTGCCAAATCCCTTCTTCTACTTCATTCTTTTATTACTCTGTGTGTGTGTGTAGAGCAAAAGGAATAGAAAGGTCATGGAGAACCAGACTAACTCTTGATCTTGATGAAAACCAAATCCTTTCTTTGAAAACACTTGTCTATCCTTATTTAAAGTTTTGCAAGCTGGTCTGTAAAGTTAATAAACCGTGTGATAACATATATACTTTGATTTATTTTTTTTTCTGTTTGAACGTAACAGTGCCTGTAAGAAAATGTCTTTCATTATAAAAGAAAACAATTTCCTGATTTGCTCTACATTTCAGTATACAATTCGGTATACTTTATTCTTCCATATTAATATTTATCACCCCTTCACCACTGAAGCTTCCACTGTGGCCCACTGCCTGAAATGTGATGTATGGAAGAGAATCCCAGATTCCAGCATTCAAGAAGCTGCATCAGGAAAAAGTCCTGGTTACTTTCATGTATTTCCAAAGGAATTCTGACAGGAATAGGAAGCATTAACACAGCAGTTAGGAATCAATTCCATAGCTTTGCAGAGGGGAACAAAAGAAATGGGTATTTCTTTTAGGGGCTCGTTACAAAGTTGCACTGTAAAATTATTCCTCACCTTTGATTTTTTTTTTTTTAATATATATTTTTTCCTAGCGTGAATCTTTTTGGTATATTTGTGGGGTTTGGAAGACATTGTGCAGCTATCAAACTAATGATTTTATTTTATTTTTTTTAGTTCTGTAATAAAAAGGGCATTTTGTAGCTCTTCCTTTGGTAGGAAAGTTGTGACAACAAAAATTTGAACTTACTATCAATTATCTGTCAGCCTGTTTTTCATATAAAGATGAGTGGATATCCAAATCTGTGCCTCTTTAGAACTGTGTTCTAAAACTATGGAAATCAGCACTTGTATATATCTACTTGAAATATGAAATTTCTGATTTACAGCAGCTGGAGATCAAACCTTACAATGATTCCCACACTTACAGAATGAAAGACTTTGTTTATCAGCCATCAGGTAGAAAGAAAAATTGTATATTCCCCATATCTTGTAATATTATTATTGCTGTTGCACTGGTTACAAATGACATGACACATTTATGAACTGGGCCAATAAAACTGTCACTGCAAAACTTTCCTGATTCATGAATGAGCAATATGATGTCTCAGTAAAGTAGAAGTGTTCATGAAAAAAACAGGATTTTTTTTCCTGTGTGAACCATAAGTCAGGTCTAGTGAAGAGTAGGCTCTTTAGAAAAAATAAGGTCATTAAGCTGGAAACCATGGCATCACTGGTTGTTTTTACACCCCTCTGTGATGGTTTAGGGGTCTAAAGAGTTTATCTTTTAACCCACTATAAAGAATTTTTCGTTACGACCTGCATTGTGCTCTTAATCAGGAGCTAATAAGAGTGTATGCTCTGACCTCTGTTTTTATGTATTTATGTAATGTGGTCATCAGTTCACTGTCTGAACTGCAGTTTTTCGCGTGCGTGTATATAGTTTGCCACATACTGAGATTTGAAATGCACTTTCTTTGCAGTGATTAAAATTTTGTGATGTACTGGGGCAGTCCTTATCAAGTTTTGACAATATCCTGACATCTTTTTAACTAAGTGAAATGGAGAGAGAGATAATGGATCTAAGTAAAGAAGAAACAGCTCTAAACCCTGTTTTATTTTTAAATACCTGTCTTTAAACTGAATAAATATAATCTGCTTGCATGAGAATGTAATAAATTTGTGATTTACTTTTACTTTAATGTTTTATTATTTTTAAAATGGCTGGCAAACCACAGGCTTTCTCTTCTTAAAGGAATAGCTGTTCTTGAAGTATGAGTGCTTGTCCCCTTTTACAGTGCCAACAACTTGGAATAAGATTCATGAACCTCAAAGGTTGTTGGTTGCTCTTTTTCCA